TCAACAACACTATTGCTGAATCTTCAACCTACAAGGATGCTGCAAGTGGTGATTTCCCCTTTCCTCCACAGATCCAGTAAGACAAATATGAATCTTTGTTTCTGCACAGATAGAACTGTTTTATTTTTACTGTTTGCGTACAGAACCCATGACCATACAGGTACATACAGAGTATTGAACCAGAACACAGATACAAGAAAATGGAGAGGGAGAGGGAGAGAGAGATTATTTATTATGGTTAATAACCAGTCCATAAAACACAGTGCATGCATAAAACTGAGATGGATAGAATGATTGATTAGGTAAGCATGTCAATCAAACTGCTGCACAACTTATATCTAACATGACAGAATTTGGAATCATAGTAACTTACTAGCTCCTCTTCCCCCTTCTCTCTTTCAGCCACCTGATGCACCTTAGATGTTCTTCTTGCTCTTGGCCTTGATCCTCACCGTCCAGGATATGCTGAATGCAGAATAGATTCCCTACGGAAGTTTGACAAAACATATCAAGTATACCTTTCAGAAGGGAACGTAGAAACTTTTGGCCAAAGTCTAATTGTAGAAAAGTTGATGGGAAGTTATTATTTTTCCTTACAATTTTTTTTTGGTACGTAATTGCTTGGTTTTTGTTTTTGTGTTTATTTTTCCTTTTAAAAGGAATCTTTATTTAGATAGGTGGTACATACTTTGTTCAACATGTTTTGGTTAACAGGAAGCTGAAACTCCTTAAGGACCTATCTTTTGGTCCAAAAACCGAGTACCTGTTTCTTCACACTTACAGGCACTAAACAGATTTAGTATCTGCAGTATGCCAGGGCAAATTAATTAATGTTAGCACAAAAGATCCATATATACATTAATAGGACTTAAACTGGAAGTAACTGATCTGGAACGAGATTTTGATGCCATGATTAACTCTGATTAGATTTTGATAACATTCTGATGATTTAGATTTTGATGACATGATTAACACCCAGAGTCACTTGGTTGAGATGGGTGCCTATAGAAATGAAACAAAAAAATGAAATAAAATGAAGCATGTTTAGTTCTGACAATGAATAGACTGCTAAAAAAACACATGAAACTCTAGTCAGATCCCCAATTGATGGAGAGCTGTCAATGACAAGGCTGAATTTGAGCTCATCAGGAGCAAGGGGAACTGCTTCCCCAAGAAAACATTATTGTCTACTTTAAGAGTTTTGCTACCAATGTCCATCTACTCTCCAGGAGACCTGTTTAAGGGATTCAATAAACCAGCATGCAATATGTCTTCTAGTCAAGTAAGAGAGTTAAATTAGCCCTGGATCACGCTTCTGCTTGGAATGCTTTATATTTCACTCACGAGATAGATGCCTATGAAATACAGACTTGTGCACCAGAATTAGTTTACTTGGGCCATAAATTCAGGCCTTAAGGCTGATTACCAGATCTTGGAAAAACAGAAGGATTATACTGTTACCTAACAATCAGATACAAACCAAACACTTGTTTTTAGCACACTATGCATTATGTTCTTCCTATATGCACAAATATTTCCTAACTGAAACCTTTGCAGCACGTTGAACTTACCACGGCTTTTGTGGTCTTAATTTTTGCCTGGAAGGTAACCTGTTTATAGGTTCCAGTTCTCATGTGCTATGAAGAGCTAAAAGGAAGAGCAGTCATGTCACCCTTGTTTTCTGCTGTGTTTCCAGGACCCATTCCTTGGAGACTGATCCCAATTCTCACGTTAATTTGAAAGTCTAATTTACAAAACAAGAAAAGGAGTGGTTGTCTTCTAACCATTTCTGTGGATGTTATTGTTTTAAATCTGAAACACTGTCTATTGAATCCAAAAATCTAGGGAATGTTTGCAAGTGTTCATTGCCAGGGGAAGCTGTGCAATATGGAATAGTATTCCTAAAATGATTTTTGTTTTCACCTTTTCCACGGGGATTCCAGCTGGAATTTTAATTTGACTATTATGAAGCATCCCTCTGTTTTTGAAGAGGGCTATTTATTTACCTAAGGCATATCCAGATAGGTTGTGGTTTGTCAAGTTGTCGAGGAATAACAATACTTTTTGTCTGTCTCTGTTTAGAATTTTGTTGTTGAAGTGAGACATGACCTAATGCTCTTTTGGAAAAAAAAGTGAGGGAATATTTGGCTGCTTTTTTCTGAGATGAATTAGTGGAGGGTGTATTGACTTTCAGCACCTTATTTGGCAGTATTTTGTAAATAGTGGGGAAAAGAAGTATGGATAAATAAGAATGGCAGGTGAAAAATAAGTAGGTGGATCAGGAGGTGCTAAAGACAGGCATCTTCATATTAGCAAGCAGAACATTTTCTACAAAGATGCAGTCCTTTTGAAATAATGAATTAATATTGAATTTATCTAGAGCTTTTAGAAAAATGATATTGCCCTTTTTATCATTCAGAAACTTATTGTGATGGAAGGCCTAAGCGAGGAGGATCATGGAAGGGAGTTCCAAGGTCACGGGGAGGGGGAGAGGCATTCCAAGCATCTCCTCAGCCCCCAGCTGGAGCATGTGAAAGTTAAGAGAAGGAAACTGGGACCTCCCTAAGGAATTCAGGTTTATAGTTGCTGTCGTTGGGGGTTTGAGTTAGTCTGGTGAGATTCTGTCTAATAGGTGTAAGCTAATAAAGTAACTGA